TAATATCTTCTCAATAGTAGAATGTATATAGAAAATGTCTTTAATTTTGGTTGATAGCAAATTTAATGTGCGAGTACTATACGAATCATATTCCACAGGCAGATTTAGCATCAAAACGCATTGGCTCGTAGTGGTAACTGAACTATTAACATATTAGTACATTACGATACAAGTGCGGGAAAGTAAATTCTTGTCTCGTGTGGCGTTTACGCCCGAGCGAAGCGAGGGTGGAAAGATACACGAGACGAGAAACTCTTTCTGTTGTTGTTCTGAAGTTACATGTTGTTAAACAATTGTTCTGAAGTTTTTGCTTTTTTTATTTGTTTATTAGATTCAGTACTACTGTTGGAGAATTTTGACCTATTGTATAATTTCCTTCTATTATTACCCATAATGAACAAAAAATCCCTAACCTCATTTCACATAAAGATTAGATAAACCATAGGTTAAAAATCATGAATAAAAGAAACGTGAACTCGCATATTAAAATAAATGAAATCACACACCAACATAGATAAGAAAAGAAGACAAACGGAAAGGAGGGATACTTAGGTTATCTTGTAGTCTTAGGTTAAGCCACGTGTAATTGCCATGATTTCACAGAATTGTCTATGTAAGGTAGATTGCTAAATTCTTTTCTTATTCTTGAGTTGTCTTTCATATTACTCCACGTAATGTTCTTGTAATAATTTTCAGGTATCTATTTCTTTGACTCAATAAGAACAGGTCACTTGTATTTACTTATATGAAACGTTAATATTTTAGTTTCTGGCATTGATTATTGCTACACGGTAGCAACAATGATTTTGTATAGCTTTGTTCTATCGATCGGCTTCTAAAAAAATTCCAAATTAACCTTGATGCACCTTTATTCACCTTTTTCACGATCTCATGTTTGAACGATATCACTTAACGTCCGAATTTTTTCGATAATCTCTCAATCATCACTTATCTTCTGCTCCCTTTCAGTTCATATGTGGTGTAATCTACTTCGTATATCACACTGCTCACGAGTTATGATTTATAAATCTATTAAACAACTTTGATAATTTTTATGCGTAATAATATTTTTAACTGTATGGGTTTTGACTCCTTTCGCCTTTTACATTGCTGATTTATTACTTCAATACTGTACATTTTACTTCATAGCCCAAAGAATTCCTTCATAATATTTCGATCACATTCGTCTTATATTACACCAAAAACTTTTTTTTGAGCTAGAAGTATATCAAATCCATTGTTAATTGAATAGTTATATATCAAACTTATCGATATCTTCTTTCATAATTCCATACATATCAACGTCTTAAATTTCATATAGGAGACTGTCAATATCAGATTATTTACATATAAAAATTCTTCAACATCTTGTTATGTTCATTCTCATTGAATTCTATGCCCATATATTTATTATTTGCTTTTGAATGCTGTTACAGCATTGACTAATACCTCTATAAATACTTTTTCGAATAAATAAGACCATATCAATATCATTTAATACTTCAAGTTCAATATTTGTACACTTTAATATCACATTCCGTGTCAATCCAGGAGTGATGTAATAATGTGTCGGGTCTAGTTTATACGCAGCTACACAGGTTATACGGAAATTCTCGAAAATATCAACTAATAGTAGTACATCTGTTTTCAGATAAAAATCAAAATACTGACCTAAATTTTTAATTTGAAAAGTATTCAAAACGTTTTGCATGTGAACAAAACCTGCATTAGATATATTACTATATGTAATTGACTATGTAATTGACTATGGAATCTTTCGATAGAAGATAATTAATTTTCTGCTACACTATTTAAACTACTAACATATTGGTATGGGAAGACATATTTCCTTTTGAATAAATCGATTTGTATTGTAGTGAAATTATCATTCTCAAATTCTCTTTTTACAATATTTAGCTGAGGCAAGTATAACGCTAATTTATCAAGGCATGAAACCAAATGAATCAACGTAACGCAAACTAATGGGACAATCCCTAAGGTTTTGTAAATATATTTATAGATATATAACGCCTTTTGTTTTTTGCTAGAACAGAGATTTTGCCCTTAAAATCTGGATTAATAGCAATTTTTTTCACGATATAATGAGAGTCATAATCTATCTCCCAACAAACAAAATTTCGTGCCTTTAATGCTGTCATTCGTAGCATTAACACTACGTCCTCCCGGTGTGTGGAATTTCCTCCTCCCTTAACAAACTAAACTGCACCTACATATGTATCCTCTGCAACGTTTTAAAAATCTCCTGGTATATCAGAAATGCCCAAGTCCTAAAAGAAACTAGCCTCCCCTCCCTCCCGATAGCCGTTGTTCTTTACGCCTCCAATCTCCGAGAATCGGTCAAATCTCACCCTAACTCTTCCATTAATTGCCTAGTCAAAAGCAAGCCAAAGAACAAAGTTCCAAGACCTTGTTTCTTAATTCCACGTCCTCAACTCACCCTTTGACGTCATAGTTTCGCCACTTAGCACACAGCACCCCTACCGTGGAGTCCTAATCTACATGTTTTTTTTCACAAAAAGTTTAGAACCTCCGAGTTGGTAACCTCGAGGAGGAATTTTAGTTGATAGGCATCCCAGAACATCGGAATAAATCTAACACTACCCAACTTTACATCATTGGGCGTCTTCAAAAAATTTCCCGTCCTCGCCCACCGAAGAAAAATCTTATATTCTCATTTCTGATTGAGCTATAGTACTGTTGATACCTAACTACGAAAAGAAGTATTCAAAATGGATTATATATTAGATATTCAGGGCTTTCAATGTCCGCAAAATTGCTTTGTTTGTAAAGAACTATTTTAATCCAAATGTTTTTTTTATTTAAACTTTAGTATTATTTGCTAAAATTTCCTATTAAATATCAACATGTACATAGATAGAATGAATTATATTAGCATGGTATATTATGGGGATTAAGCGTAATATTATATAAAATTTTATTGATTATTTTACGTAATCATTTACGAAATTCCAGAAATATTTATATAAAAGGAGAAAAAAACAATGGCCTCAAAAAATGTACTATCTGAAAAGTAAGCTTTAGTAACGTATGCTCGTATATTGAATCTATGTAGATAATTATTAATTTTAGATCTTGAAAGTGATATAGGATACCCTCCGTTAGCAGAATTACATAGTCCAATAGGACGTCATGGGTATTTCATTGTAAAAAACTGATTTCATATGCGCTACCATGAATAAATAAAAATTGCCTATTCGTATAAAGAAGAGACAAAAACAAGTTGAATCACAAAGAGCCGACACAATAGATTCATTGAAAAATCAATATAATTTATATAAGAATTCACCTACATATTTTGAAATAGTACCACTCCTCGTAGGTGGTCCGAATGCGATACATACATTGCTTATTTACTAACGAGCATGCCAATTTAATGGTATCAATCGGAAGAGTATTTGTCTAGTTTCTAAACGCAGAAGACTCAAATCATTAAAATGAAACACTATGCCCTAACTTTCAGTTGTGCGCTCGTTTCAGTAATGCTGCAACAAATTTGATGTATCAAATTTCAAACAATAATATTTTGTTATTCGTTTTTCTGACTGTCATTAAAAAATCAATTTTAAAAATTTGGTCATGTGATCATTGTAACGTTTAAAAAAATATTTTTTGGTTTCCATTTTTAAAAATGTACCATGAAATTCTGCAAAAAACTGTGTAATCTTTCAACAGCAATAGGCAGATTTGTTTAATTTTATCATTTATTAGCTTTGATATTTAGGTTAAGCTGTCATTGGGTATTTTATGATACCCTCATTCAAAATGATAATACTAAATTTGTGATATGTCCTGCTAAAGAGTTTGCCAAAAATATTCCAAGTTGTGACACGGAAAGACCTGCGTTCTTGTTATAAAGTAATTAAGATAATTCCATAGACTTTACGTAAAAATTGAAAAAAAGCTAGGAGTGATGAATACTGAACCTCATAATGATTGTTAAACAAAATTATGCATTATCTAATAACATAGATCTGCAATATAAGGGGTTGTGATTGTTGTTGGCTAATTGAGAGTCATTTCTGAAGTGATTTTTTGCATATAATTCGAATTCAGATTCAAAATTTATCTATCATGCCAGGTTTTTTAGATATCCTAATCTAAAACGACAAAAAAGGCGGTTTTTTTTAGTATATTTAAGGCCCCGTAACATTGTGGACAATGTTTTTTTTTCTGAAAACGTGGTAAACCATCTGAAAGGTCTACACTTGCCCTTTAAAATCCATATTTAAGATTTGAGATCTTTTTTTTTCATCGAGATATCGTTGATTGAAATTAAGTATTTTAACAGTTTCGAAACAGAAAATCAGGGTCTAAGGGTCTGGGGTTATAGTGTCGCAGGTTACAGGGCTAGAGGGTTGAGGAAATGAGGGTATAAGGGTCTGGTGTTTTTCCCGTTTTCAGAAAAAAAAACATTTTCCGTGATGTTACGGCACCCCAAAAAACCGCCTTTTTGCCCCTTTCAGTTAGAATATCTAAAAAATCTGACGTAATCAACAATTTTGGACTCCAAATTCGAATTATACGCAAAAAATTACTTTAGAAATTACCTTTAACTAGTCAACAACAAAACCATGTAGATCTGTGTAATTTATTCAAGTCTTATCTGTCTATATTATTATGTTATAATGAAGTACTCAATATTAATACAGTTTGAAATTAGTGACTGTATTGAAGCATAGAAAAAGCTTTACACGAAACAAGTCGCGTATTATGTATAATAATATCTGAGATTTTCAGATGGAATAAAAAATTAATACTTGGTGAGTATGTTGTATTCAAAATTTTTAATTCTATTAGGATAATAACTGAATTGGAAGCCGGTCAGTCTGGTCAACGGGTCTTCTGGCAAAAGTATAAAAAAACATTGATATCTCGTTATCGAAGCAGCGAAGCTGAACGGCAATTTCCGAAACTAAGTTGGCTTTAAAAATATTTGATTTGACACGAGAATAGCATACCTCTGTTTAGCCAATCTCTTCTTCTTTTTGTGAAGCGGTTTGGTTTCGACGATCATTTCCTCGAGCTCGAAGGTGGGATCGCAGTTGAGATGGTCCTTGGGTGGTGTAAACATCGGCTTGATTTTTTTATTCAGCACGGCGTCAAAGTCCAAATTGGACATTAGTCCCAGCTGTTTGAGCTCCTTCAGTGTGGTGCACCTCTCAAGAGGCTCGACCGCTAACAAATGTTGAATCACCTCACGAGTGCCACGAGACCATCGATTTGGTGCTTCGGGACGCTCGGTTAGCAAGGCCAAAGCTTCGCGGTGAGTCGTCGACGCGTGAATCGCGAATGGTCTGCAACCTGCCAATGTTTCCCACGCCAACACTCCGAGGCTCCACCAGTCTACCGCGAAACCATAGCCTAGTACACCATACTCTTCGCAAGCGCATTTGTAGATCTCTGGGGCTACAAAACAACAAGCGAAATCCAGTTACGTTTTAGCTTCTCTTATACATTTGTTCGTGAATTCTGAATAAATGATCCTTCTGAAATTTACGCCATAGCATTTAATCTTCTCGACATCTTCTCCTCTCATGTAATATATTTTTCACATTTTTTTGTCTCGTATTTATTTACCGACCTTCGTTTACCCCACAGGCATATCGTAAATTGATAAATTACTCGGAGATTGTTGACTATAAAAAGCAATTTATATTTAACAATACCAAACGAGAATAATAGAAATTACAAATTTGTTCATTATTTACTGATTGTTTTTTTTACATTGTACGGACCGTACAAAAGTTTCCAGATGAAAAAACTTGAATAAAGAAAGTTTTACACTTTATCGACTTCCTAGTTTACAAATTCAAATAACGAAAACTAGAAAGTATTTGAATGTAGTTTTTACAAATGTATAAAAATAATTATGAATATGAGTTATGAATGAGTTGTAAAATTATTGATAGGACGTAACCTTTTACCGCGTTAGAAATTTAATCAACATTCAATCATCAAGTAGATTTTGGAAAATGATGAAAATGAATTTTCTCTAATTTTCATATTGATAAATTATGCCATATCCGTGTGACATTTTTTTCGCAGAGCACATCAATGTCGGTGTAGCTTCGAGGCCACTAAAATAATTAATTAGTTGATTGAAATTAAGTAAGGGCGTATTCCACGAAGCCACTAGACGTGTCAATGCAGAACGCAAACATCGTCGGTAAATATTCATGTCGCTGGGCCTCGAGCTGTATACGTAGGCACGTGGTCGTAGCTTTCCTTTTTTTATAAATCGCATTTCTCGAATCTACCGAAGCGAGCGCGGAGGGTTTTTCCGCTCTAAAAAAGGAAGAAAAAATTGGGAAAATATATGCGATGTTTTCCCGAGCATACATGACAGATGAGAGAGAGAGAGAGAGAGAGAGAGAGAGAGAGAGAGAGAGAGAGAGAGAGAGAGGCGAATGAGAAGGAAAGGAAGACACAAAAGAAGACGTTGGAAGTCGATCTTGCTGTACAGCTCTATAGAAAAAAAAGAGAAATGATAGGTGCACGCTCGCGTTTCAGATCGGGGAATCTCTCTGAAGTGTATGAGAACGATATAGCGTGACGGTAAATTGAGGAGCTGGAGGGGGTGGAGGAAAACTTGAATGGTCCCCTCGCCGTCACAGTCCAGCGGCTGGGGAATCCAATAACATTCCTTCGCCACTTCGCTTGCCGATGCTGGAGACCGATGGTTCGCTGGAAATCTGCTTGATATTTACGCGGCGATTGGCATTTTCAGTCATTCGCTCTCACTTTACTGACATTTCGAATTGAACGAGCACCGATCGAGTTCGACGTTTTGTTTCGAGGCTTCCAGGAGAAATAATTGACCTACTGGCATTGCTTCTGCCAACGCGTAAAGGTCGCACCGAGAAAAGAGTCTTCTTGTAACATAAGACATCGCATAACACAACATAACATAACAAAAGGAAGTATGCTTGTTACGAGTGGATATTTTTTCCTTATAACAGAATGTCTTTTTTTTTTGCAAGAGGAAATATTTACACTGAACGAATACAGAAATCACGACACTATACGCAAGGCAATTTCGAGTTGAGTGCAGAGCGCGAAAAAAGCAATCGTCTAGAATAGAAAATAAGCAAAACTATAAATTGAGACGTTTTGAACGCAAGAGATAAAGTTGCTCGTTAATAGACGTTGAGACTGGCGTAATCGAATCACGACGCGGCGTGGTCCGGCAGATACGATTAGATCGAGAGAGGAGGGGCGTCTTCCATTGTAACAGCATTACAGCTGGCGATAATTTGCTAACAGCCGCTGCTGCTCGCTATAATGAAAATCGTGCGGCTAGATAATATGATAAGCACACACCCATGTATGGCTTGGTGCCGGACATCGACGTAGCCAGCTGGTCATTCTTCAGCGTCGCCGCGATGTTGAAGTCCGTCACGTGGGCGTGGCCTGCAACAAACCCAACACACGATTCGATTAATTTACGAACGCTCTTTTTTTTGCCCCCCCCCCCCCCTTTGTCGCTCGTAGTAAGATATAGGGCTTTCTTCCATCGTTCATTTTACGAAACGCACGTACATTACGCGCAGTCGTGAACTTCACATCGGTCAATGTTTAACCATTGGCGTGGAAAGCTCTTTCGTGCCATGCAATTCAAAGCTAGCAAGTGGCGGAATAGCAGCTATACGTAAATATGCTGATAGAACTGACGCGTTGATCTTCTGAAAATGAGTACATTCCTCTCACAGTTCCCTCGAGGAGCTTCTCGCAAGGAAATCTTCATTAAGATCCTTTGACAGCGTTATATAGAATAGCTTGCGGGCCAGAGAGACATTCCACTCGATGGAAGCTGACTCGCAGGTCAAGCAACGCGCGACTTTACGAGGGGGAGGAAATGCATCGTTATTGCTACTTCCAATCCGACGAGTCTGTCGCGCCCGCGCGCGAGCGACAAATTACGCAAATGGAAACCACGTGGGACCGACTCACTCGTCGCGGTAAAATTATTCAAATCAAAAGCGCTGTCTGCGCGCCCGTTGGGCATCGGGCATATAATATTTGCTCGTTCTGGAACTCCAGCTCTTTGGCCGCAACTGCAAGCAAGGGGACTCGTTATCGCGATGCGAGTCGAGTGCCCCACGCTACGCATCCCTGCAACGCGAATGTGTGCGCTACGCGTTTTCTGACCTTACTCAAAAGAGGCGAACCCTCGCTGAGTAATCAAAGCCGCTCGATCTACGGCCTGTTTGTTTCCCGCTAATTCGCAGCCAATCGGCGCCAGGCCGCCACTCCACGGGGTCTCTGCCCCGATAAAAATTCCGACGCGATGTCGATTCACGCGAAAAATGACTTTCTCAACGTGCGGGGACAAGTAAATATCTAAACTGATTTTTGAGGGGCAGAGAGCACAAACTAGGAGAGGACATCCGAATCGATGCAACTACGACGTCGGGATAGTGCGCCTTCTTCCGTTGCCAATCGCAGCGAGCTACCGCGGGATAAATCAACGCAATTAACGCCCATCGGATCTTTATTCGCACGCCCAAATTTGATTCGTTTACGCGGCAAACGAGCGCTCGTTCGGATGTGTCCGCGCGTTAGCCGAATCCCAGCGCGCGCTGACTTTCTCGATTGTTCTTTCGCTCGTTTTCCCCGCGTTACGCTATACTCATTACAATCGAGAAATCAAATTTCCATCTAAATGCTTTTGGCCGAACGTCGCTGCGCTAATTGCTGTTACGACTCGATTCGAGACTCGCGCTTACGATCACTTCTATGTTTGTACGTTCTCGGAGAATATTATTTTACGTGACATTGCTCGCTGTTCGTCAATGTTATGCGCTGAGTTCATTCGCGGTGGTCGTTTACGTTTGTAAATCGCTGATACAAATGTAAATGAATAAAAAAGTCAAGGAATCGAAATAACGAGTACTCAGCAGTTGTGGACAATGCGCTTTCATTACTATAAGCAGTGAGGGCTGGCATTATAAAAGAAAGCAGGCATTGAGTTACACGCGGGTATGTTGGCTACAGCCGAGGTCTACAATACAGGAAACGCTTTTTGTTTGCCGTAATTGCTCGCGCAACACTGCAGGACTTTGCCGTCTCGCGAGAGAGCGAGAAACAGTCGACTACTCACGTATACAAGAATGATAATTACAAGTTGAAGAGCGCAAGGTCAGCGGCGAACAACAAAGAAAATGCGCAAGCTTTCTCTGGAGCTTCTCCTTAACGACCGCGTTCGTTTATTCTTCCTCTCATTAGTGTAGCCTTTGTGCGTTTTTATATTGGTCGGGATTCTCGTGGAAGAGGTATCGGCATTTTTTTAATCGAACAAAAGCGAAGCTCCAAATTCGGACGCCAAATTCGAGAAAGTCCATATTTTCAAGCCTTTTCATATGATGTGCTGCTATAACACTGTGGAGTATAGGTGTAGAGTCGAAAAACGGTTGGCTTCCCTGCGTCAATGGAAAAAAGGACGCGCGAACGCGGACCTTCTTCTTTTTGTGCTCTCCACGTAGGTGCTCCTGCCGCTGGTGTATCCGTACAACTCATTGGCCGCAAGGCTCCTAGTTTTTCCTCGTTCTTCGTTATTTTTCCGACTAGCGCAAATCCGTGACCTCTGCTCTTTGTCCTTAGCCGGGCGTACACTGCTAGTATCTATAAAAGTTCATTTTACGAGTTCTCTGGCCATGCCATAAAATAAGTGCCAGCCTTCTTTTTCTTGCGCAGTCGTACGCACCGCCGTGAATACACGACATTAGTTTGGCTTATCCTGCCGCGAAGCGGATGGCGCGAATTTCTTTCTGCGCGACTATTCTTCCGAAATTTCTCTTATTACAGAGACCGAACAATTTTGAAATACTTGAAAAAGTACGAGTAGACGTCATATCATCCCATTCAAGTAGACAACGACTTGGTCAAACTTGTGTATTAAGGGAAAGATACTGAATAGTTAAAGGTATTATACCTATTAGGTTTCGTATGAATCTTGTTTTTCATGTCTCCTTCGTAAAAAGTGACAGCAACAATCAAGTTTGGCTAAAGCAGCACGGTATTATTGATGTATACTCACCGACAATAATACTACTGTCAAGCAGTGGATTGACAGCTGAGATTTTCTGATAAATACAAACTTAATCGTCTGTTTGTGTCGCCGCTTATAATTTTTTCTATAAAAACGAATGACGCACAGGAACTTCAACGATGTCACCATTGTTGCGTAGAAATGGAGCAGAAGTATTATTTTGCGAGCACATAATAATAAATTTCAGTATACTCGATACATGTAGTAGAACTTTGTTAGTGCTTTTCAAATAAAAATTGATTATTACAAAGTAGTTATTGACAAATAATAAAACTCAATGATTACGAAGTATTTCATTTTCAAACTATACTTGTATTTTCGTAGTAGCGCTCGAGAACTTGATTACTTGACAACGAATTCTCAAACGATTAGAACTCAAGTAAGCAATGTCAGCTGTTCGAAAACAACGAAAAAGATCACTTATTGACATTTTCATGAATTTGTTACGCTTATAGATCGGATGTTCAGCGGAGCATATGTGTTATAACACAGGGTGGCGCAGCTGTTGTCACGAAGGATCGCACGCCTAACTTGCTTTTTTCTCGTTGGAAACGGGTGGCTGTCTCTCTTTTCTGAGGGTTTGCTTGAGCTATCGACCGTACGTTTATAGACATGCGCGCCGCTCGTATATAAAGAAAATTGGTAATTTCCTCAAGTTTCGGGTGGACGTTTCCGTTAAACGTAGCTTTCTATTTTTCTAATATAATCTTATGGAATTTCTCTTCGATCGTCGCGACGACGATTCTCGAGGGGCAATGAATATCGTAAGGACTTGGCGCGTCGACGCGTTGTCGTGCTTCGTCGGCGAGTGCCATCAGGCCTTCGCGATCTTTGAACTTGCCTTCTTGCAAGGGTAAGCGTAAAAGCGCAGTCGCGCGGCTTGACATAGTCTCTTGCCTCTGTTCTCTCATGCCAGTCTTGAAATTCTCCAAGTTCTCGTCGGTAGGTGGAAGTTATTACCAAAGAGAAATTTTCCTTGGCGGCTAGAGAAGCTCGTCGTTAACTCTTGCGCGCACATTTGAATCTGAATGAATTGCTTTGAGTTATTATTCTCATAATCATTAACGGATTGAGTACACAAGACCTCCAACCAAACAATACCAAAATATTGAGTGTGCTCCTAATAAACACATGAAACAAGAGAGCTTTGCGTCAACTGTAAAAACACGAGAAGATACTCAAAATCGAGATTTATCTTCCAAGTTGTAGATCAAAGATTACATTAATAGAGCACACAAGGTGTTTGAAATAAATAAGACAAAACATAGTTAGAGAAAATTGCATAAAATTGACAACTTACGTCTAATAGAATTCCTTGATATTGTACACTACTCTTTCATTTATCTTCATTTACAGTTCATTATAACGTTCAGTGGCCTCAATATGACATGATACTTCTATTGAAAGAAACATTAATTGTTTTTCCTCTCATCAATCATCTTACATAAGCAGTGCTGTGCAAGTGAGACGTGGTTTCTTTTTTGCTACAAAATAATGCTACAATATTCGTATGCCTTTGCTTAATGAGCATTAATACTCGTATGGTCATAAATGTTACCTCGAGATGAGTTATACGTGATACATTAGATGTAATTTTTTTTTTTATTTGCAGCGTTACATTTCCAAAGCTTTTATCCCGAAGCTTCTATAACCGACTACCGACTCTTCGGAGACGACATATATTTATATTGCAGCTTGTTTCTCATCTCACTTCACCGAACATCAAAACTTACTACTAAAATAGCGATAAAGCCAGCTGAAAATAAAATACGCAGTAAAGGGAAAATTGTTTATTATTTTACATCAACATCGCTGTACACGCGTATTTTTAGTGCTTTTTTTATTGAACTTGAATAAAGATGCTATAATCTCACAATAGAAAAATGTCTGTATAACAAAGAGAAATATGCCTTTGTCGCATAGCGCATAAGTATTGTTATTTGAAGAGTAGCATAATACGTTAAAAAAAAAAATACCAGTTTTCACATTTACTGATTCAGAGTTAAGAAAAAATTAGCACGATTTCATTGATACAAGTGTTCTTCGAGAAAGCGATAAATTTGATGAGGTGAAGACACCAAGTGGAAAATCCGCGTAGTCGTAGAACACTTTGCTATCTGCTAATGCAATGTGCCATTTCCATCCCTTACTCGCAATGTGCACTTATCGTAACAGCAAAGTGCATGGAACACCTTTGAAGACCTCTCTCTCTCTCTCTCTCTCTCTCTTTCTCTCTCGCTCTCCACTTCCCTTACTTTCAAGGATCGTAAATCAACGAACACGTAAACTCGAGCAGTTCACATGCGTACTAGAGATCGTTACTCTCATCAGTACCCTTTCATCGCGCTATTTCATTCGTTCGTTCAAACGTCCTGTCATTTTTTACATTTCTTTCGTACTCTAAGTTTTTCGAATCGTGTTTTCGTTCTCGACTTCCTTCTACAAAGTATAACAGCACTAGACCTTCAGAAATGTTCTTTGAACAGCAAACGTCACTTCGAAAAGCCGTATTACGTTATTGGCATCGAGCTCAAAATGATTCGAAAGCCTCTTTTAAAGAGCACGCAGATGCTCCGAACGCGCGTTCCAAAAAACTTTCGAAGGAATGATCGACCAACAGTATTATATAGGTATCCAAATAAACTCGTCACTATAATTGAAACTCAAAATTAATCGTGAACTCCCTATAAACGTTACTGAGCTTACAGAGATAAAATCCGCTAATTGGTGCTCAATGAGCATTTGGAGAGGAGTATGCAATTTATTTAGTGAGCACTACACTGATTCAACATAAGTTGCAAACATTTGTTCAGATTCAACACGAAATAGCTTTTCGAATTGATTTCAGTATTCACTAGTCAGAAAGTAATCGTTTTAAATCAATGTAGATTACAAGAGCAAAAATATTCATTAAATAAACCAACGATTTGCTATAGAAATTAATTTTTAACGAAATAATACGATCTTCTTCCACGTAAGCATCGTGTACTTGTCAATTGTTTTAAAAGCCACTCGACTTCATACCGATAAATTATTTAGATTAAGCTCAATAACGCAAAGTACATTGTTAATCTACGAAGCACATCATGAACCGTTCATACGTCACCCGAAACAACATTCCCAAATCGTCGCAAAAAGTACCGATTCTTCTACGTGAAGTAAAGTGCGCTACGTGACTTATGTATATAATATGCGCACGCAAAGATATCGACATTTCCGAGTATTTCGTTCTTTTTGCACATGCAAGGCACATAAATCCTTTTTTGATATCTTTCGGAGACGCCATTTTCAACTCAAGCAGAATCCATAATTATTTCGAGCACAAATCGGCGGCTGAATATCTCTTTGTTCCTAGCCCAATAAGCGCAAGTAAAGAGATTACGTAAAGTTACTAAGCAGGCTGAGCGAAAGGTGACTCTTGAACAGGCACAGTCAGCTATCGCCTCGGGCCCTGACCTAATTAAATCGCGAGATATTTTGATAATCTTATCCGAGTGCGCTAAACCGCAATACAAGCTCCAAGATTAAAGCAGCTGCACAACAAAATTCGCTGATACATACATGCAATGCCACTCGCTCATGTTATTATTTTTTCTTGTATAGAATGTAGATGCCGTCTTCCGCGCGAGCATCACATCATGTTGCGATACGACCGCTCCAATAAAAAAAAGAAAAGGAAAAGACGTTCATTATCATTTGCGCTTTATCGCCTTTGAGTCGAGGAAAGGAAAAAAAACGTATGACTGACTGACTTTGTGTGCTCTGATGAAAAGATACCGGTAAAAGCGCACACAGAACCATAGCTATATATCTAAGCCAGCGAAATTGAACCATCTATGAGCTATTGCAAGCTTCTCAAGTTTCTGATAAAGTTACAAAGATGAGCGAAGATCTTCATTCGAACTCATTGCGGGATATAAAAGAAAAATCCACCGTTTGATCGAAACTCTCTGCACTAATTTGTAATTTCAGGTGTTTCGTTCTGTAGATGGCAATTGTTGTTATCACTTGTATCGATTACACCTCTTGCACAGATAAAAGAAAGAAATTTTCCCTCAGTTGAATTTTGTGAATTTAGAAAATTTCTTTTTTAAATTAATATTATTTTATTTAAATTACGAAATTCATCGTGAGAACTAAACTTGGATATTTTTTTATCACTGCGTCGTTCATTCAAATAATGCATGAGCTGAAAGAATTCAATGTTGTAATTAGATGAATCTGTTAACGTTAGACTATACATAAAAGATCCAATAGGTTGGGGAAATGTCAGTGGTTGGTCCAGCTATCCCATTGCAATTGGCACGCAAAACAAAGGACAATTTGCGCACAGTCACAGCTATTCGTTCGTCCAATCTAAGACGACAAAGCAGAGAATGGAAATAACGGGGATTGCCTGCGAGAGCAAACACGTGTCGTGCACGCAGACGAAGAAGCGGAATAGCAAATTAGCGAGAAAGGCCGCGTAGTATAGAGACGGGGAAAATACAGGCTGACGCACGAGGGAAATAAAGAGTGGCGAGTGAAACGCAAGCTCGCATATAGACAAAAGCGACGTGTCCGCGGAGCGGCCTGATTTTGCCACGTGTGCGTATATAGCCGAGTAATGCGTACGAGATGAATAGAGGGGGTGAAAAGAAGCTGCTGAATAGCGAGCAGAAAGCCAAACGAATGGTTAAACGCGTAAAAAGTGTGGAATGCAGAGAATTTTCGAATCCGATGGTAATTTTCGTCGACAGAGCAAAATAATATGAAGAGGCGTTGGATTAATAGGTTTCTTCTCGAGCTTATTGGCACCGCGCTATAAAGCCTCCATTTACAAATGCATGCTTGAACTCGTATCAAGGCGATTAACCTGCTACAACTTCCCTGTCGTAACTGTCCCATTATCAAACGTAACGATTCGATCGGATTTACTTTGTTTTCCAAGTTACGTCTTTAATGAGTAAACTATTCGTCGTTCGCTATTGCCGAAATTATCTCAGGAATTTTCATTACCTATTCAAAACTAATGCTTTCTTTAAGAAGAATGTACGTCGAGTTTTCGCGGAGATTGAAAAATTCAAATCTGCAGTTATAAATAAATAAGCAGTCTCAATTTCGCGCTCGCAAAACTCGCTTTGGTATATGATTCGAAAAAAGGGTCGCAATTTCCGGCAGTGCGCGAACAGCTAGTAGGAAAAAAAGTAGCATGCCGCGTTAGCTTTATTTGATTTCAAATTTTCATTACCCTTGGCCGCTTTCGTAATACGTTGTCACAGAAAAGTAATTTCACGTGTATTTTGCCGTATAGCTCGCACGGCTTAATTAATATGTACTTTCCTAGGGTATATACAAACTTTACCGAGTGTATTTTCGTGCGCAGCGTAGCTCATAATAATCGCGTTAGCAAACATTTTCGAAAATTGGAATTAATGGATGCTGCATCGCGTGCAACAGTACAAATGATCATCCTATGAGTATCAACAGCGCGTTGAAGCCAATAATTAACCAATAGGACTGATTTTTTCTACTGACAAGAAAGACAAAGAAATACGATACTAGATTTTCGATGGCAAGGGACGCGAGATGAGGGGCCAAGCCATTTGTTCTGCTCTCTAGTGTTTCCTAGATCCATGTAATGCATAATTGCCATCTATCAAATTTCATCGTCCAGACCACGAACGCGCAACCTGAGCGCAATTCAAGTAGTACTAGTCGGCGTTTTGTCAGACGCGCAGAAAGCGCGCTGTACGCGCTTGCACGTAATGCGATGCAATGTTGCGTGCAACAGCTTTACTGTGACGTAATGTGGTTAAAGTGCGCGTGCATGGCCGAATAAATACGAAAGCAACTTTGCTTCCGACTGAACTCTCTATACTCTCGCCAACTTTCTCAAAGGACTCGCTACGCAAAATCGATCGGTATACATTACTTCCTCGAAACGTTTGCTTTAGATATAATACATGTATGGCTTGAAGATCAAAATTAACTACGTAAATCACGTTTTATTTGGAAATTCTAGAAATTATGAAAAAATTGAGCTATCAATCAATAGATAATTCTGTTGATCTGTTAAAAACAAATCGAAAGTTTAGCTACGGATAGACATCAACGATAAAGATAATTTATTGATTACTCTCACATTTATCAATTGAGAATCTCACTTCGGAGTGAATTTTCATGCGGCGCATTATTTGTAAAAGGATCAAAGACGAGAATTCCACAATGAAAACAAACTAAACTGACCTTCCTCGTCCAACAAGATATTATCTGGCTTGATGTCCCGATGGACAATGCGGTTCTTTTGCAGGTAATCGAGCGCCAATGCTATTTCCGCAATGAACAGAATGACGCTCTCTTCGCTGAACTGAACGTCTTGCTGTAAGTGATATCTTAAATCCCCGCCGAGCAGCAAATCCGATACCATGAACAAATCTTCCTCATCTAGAATAAAACGAATTATCAAATTTATGCTTAACGGAAAAAGTGCAAAATAAAGAACAGTATCAAAGATGACCTACTAAGCGAAAAATCGTAATGTAATAGAGTTATCCAATTCATAAACGCAATTAACATTAGGAATTTATTATAACGTTTTATACCTATATCAAGAAAAATCATTGTAAAATAAATGTCGTTAATACCTGGCAAGGGGATGCGACAATAAATAAATAAATTAAAAAAAATTTATGCTTATATTCACAGCTTTCTCTAGTTCTATTTTATATACCCCGCTGATTTTTTCCATATCTTAATATTAATGTTCGGCTATTTATATAAACAGTGATATTGAAATTTGTTTACTTTTAAATGACTCTATTTAGCGTGATATTTTTCACTACGCTGAATTTTCATATTTTTGTCATGATCCGATGATTTTTACTGAAAAGCATCGTGGCGCGGAAAATACAGTTTACATTAAAGGTCGGATGAATCTGCATTAAATTCGTATTGCCATTTACTTAATTGTTGATACGTCCAAGTTAATTTCGTATTTTAGTATAATGAATTAATTTGTTCTGAGTAACATTAAATCGAGAAAGCTCAATATTTCACCTAATCGGGTGATTTCATTTGGAGTCGTATGCACGTGGAAATGAATGAATCGCGTGTGTAAAAATCAACAGATCAGCATTTGAAATGTAATTGTTGAAGGGACGTTTTCGTATCAGTCCATTAAGCTTGAAAAACGTCAACACTGAATCTAGCGGGAAGTCACCCTCATAAAAGCGTATTCCAACTTACTGCAATAAAGAGGGTGGTTTGTCCGTCAAATAAGTAAAGAAAAAGGAAAAAAAGAATGTAGGTAGGTTCTCCGCGCAGACTCGATATGCGGACAACAAAAGAGTAAGTCGGTCTAAAATTCACAGTCGGTTTTTTGTGCAAAAGCCGGAGTCTACTATATGTACATCGTAAAGAGGCTAGCAGACTTGAGAAACAAAGGAGCCGTAGGCAATTACCTTGAAAGCTGAACCACAAATTGACGAGGCAGGGATGCTCCAGCCGCGAGAGGATTTCAACCTCGCGAGCGACATTCTTCAGAGCACCGCGCTCCGCGCACTCGCCCTTCCGTACGTACTTCATCGCGTACATATTGCCAGCGCGGTCTCTTTTTTGCACTATACACACCTGAAACACAGTCACAAGAAAAATCAAACATCTTTTGACCCACTAGCGTAGGTGCATAGCGCATAGCCAGCGCAGCCGCTCTGCTCGAAAGCTACCCACTGTAATTTTGCTTTCAACCGCCCCATCGGAGTCCTGACTTTTACGATAGACTGCATTACCCTCTGAGCTATATATTTCCGTCCAGACGAACGGTCGGTCGGACTTTTTAGCGCACTTTTTTTTTTTTTGTTGATTCGTTTTTTTGTTCTCCCGACTCCGGTATACTCCGGTATCGGCCAGATATGCGCCATTTGCGGAATTCCTTTGAAAGGGATTCGGGCGTTTCATCGAATTTCTATAAAAGAATCGCAAAAATAGTGGAGCATCGATAAAAAAATTTGCTGTAATCATAAACGTACTAAATACTAACGAGCACAGTTGGAACGCATAAAAGTATTGATACTGTAAAATAAATTTGACGAGCAGCTGCCCTTCCGAGCGAGTCATTGTTGACGATGCGCGTACAAGGGAGATATTTTCAATGTAGCAAACTTCCGTTGCGTGCTATGTGGCCATCGAACGCCGAGGCGAGGCTCGCTTGAATTTTTCAAACGGTTTCCAGGTAAAGGAAGTAGGAGAGAAAGAAAACGTGGAGCGCTGGAAGTGCAGTCTAGCTATGTAGAATCCGTAAGGCAGGGCGCGGTGTAGTTTGTAAAATAGCTCATGCGTGGATAATGCCGGAGGTATGTTGTTGCTACATCGGGTGGTAGGAAGAGAGCGAGCGGCTTTAATGGCTAATAGATAAGAGAGAATAGTCGATAGGCAACAACAGCGCACAGTACCTTGCCAAAGCTCCCCTTGCCGATGGCCCGCAGTATTTGAAAGTGGTCGAAATTCACTGCAACACAGAATCGATAATAAATGCTCTGCTGCTCGCTAGCGTTACACCGCGCTTGCCGATTAAAGCGTGCTCCTATCGGTTTCCGATGCTCGCTGGCGAAGCGCGTGTATTGCATGCGCAATCTTAAAACGGACACATGCCTCGATACTCGCCAGCTAATCTCATTGCTTTCGCGGTCGTTTGCTTAGAAACACCACGCAATGCTCTCTGCCTTTCTTTTCACGAACATTCTCGGAGCTTTTTCCAATCTAGTTAACATCTCAATTTGCAATTCGTGTCGCGTTTCATACCATGAAATCTAATCTTTGATGATTATTCGTGTATTTCGTGCTAAAAAACAATTGCTATTCGACATTGGAAACGGTTTCTCGTAGAAAAGGCTTAAAATCCAGTAAATTTGACATTTCGAGTAGCAAAATACAAATCTTTACGGAGCACATCGATATTCAGTAGTTTCGTGAACGTCAAGCTTTTCAGCGCAGTACGTATATATTCTCCGTTCTATCCTTTGTGTACTCTCTTACATGCAAACCTGTATCGAAACACAAGTAGATGAGAACAAAAGTCAAGTAATCACGATTCTCATGGTTGCTAAAGTAATATCAAAAAGCTATTTAAATATCAAAATGAAATAGATAAAATTTTAAATACTAATGGATCATAGGAGATATTTTACTATAATTCTTTTTTATTCGATGATGTTTGTTTTACATTTTTCTTGATTTTAATTATTTTTGTCGTTGAAAAGTTATGAGCTTTGTCGGTTTTATATGAATTTTCAAAAGGGTGTTATTTTAAACTCTGGAAATGTAGTCATTAGCTACGCGATAAAGCTTATTACCTCTGTTTTACTGCTGTGAAAAGAATAAATGAGGTAAAGTTGGCGCCGTACGACGTATGCAAAAGAGGAGTTAAAAGCGAGATATAAGTAGAAAAGGACTACTGAAAAAACTGAACTGGTCACGGTCATGGTCAACCTCGTTACGTTCTCAGCACGTTATTCCATAATTAATGACGTCCGGATAAAAATAGTTCGATAAGAATGTTAATTGGACTATTAATAAATACTTCGCTCGAGAAAGAATCGAAAGTATTGCACGTGCGATTGTTTACAAAGAAAGGAGCAAATTACAAGAACTAGTGGAATTTAGTGGTAGGTCGACTATCCGAGTGTCCTACGCCTGCCTCTTTCCTTCGACGAATATCCAGATCCTACTATTTTCCTCTCCCCAGACGTCGCGGCAGTGAGCGCTCCCCTTGCGGCCTAAAGCTCGACTCGAAAGCTGCTCTCTCTGCTGCTGCTTCCCTTCACGGCTGTCGCGCTCTTTCTATCTCCCTCCCGTTTTAGTTCACGGGTCACAGCCGTGCGTCCTTAGCTCGCTGAACTTAGGTCCAGCCAGGAGCCATGGCAGCCTCGAAAACGGTCTTTGGGGCCACGAATGAGCCGCAAAGAGGATCCTCGAGCTGTGACATTCAGCTCAAAATCTGCGATGCAGCAGTCGTGCGCGTCGTGTCGAGCCGGACCAAGAACGAGAACGCGATAAAGAAAGAGACACGCCGTGCAATTTCGCCGCCGTATTTTCCCATCTCTCCGTCCGTGCTCGTGCACGCTTGCAAGTCAGAACGTATTTCAAACAAACGCACGCCTTGGTTAGGACGTTTTTAAACATACGCCTCCCCAATTGATAGGCCCGGGTCCCCGCAGGCTTCTCGACGAGCGCGCAAACACTTTACGATAATGTCGGAAAGCTTACGTCGATCGTCGGCGCCTCACTTTACGGTGCCGAAGAGGCTTCCTGCCTGACCAGCGGCGATTCATTGCGAGTGATCATGGACGCTCGTTCCACGTACTTACCCAACAAACGGACGAATTTTTACCCTCGACAACGCTGGCCCAGTTACCGCGGCTATGTGCTGGATATGGACGAGCACGCCTTTTACGGCAGCTTGTGACGCGTTTGCCATCCGTGACGTTCGGTCAGGTACGCGAAATCATTCATCAAAAGCCCAAGAGCAGTTACAAATTACTGGCGCGTCTTCGCTATATAACGGCGCAGCTGACAGCTCTAATAGCTACGATAAGACGCTGAACGCTTTTAATTATTCGATGATGCTGTAGCCAATATCATTATCCTCTTGCTTTTATTTCAACACTTAACTTATAGATCAAATCGTATTATTATCCACTGATTGACAAAGTTTTTCGCTTCATTTAAACATATTCCCATTGGCAAGAAATTGTGTTTACAGCTCGTCGAATTGAATACATCTTGTTTTTAAATGATCACTTAAAATATTATCTTTTTATTGATCAAACTATTTTTAACGACTTTACACGGAGAGGTTCGTATTTTAAAACATAAATTGTTATATCATGTATCTTTTCAGAAAATTTCTGGTAACTTTTAATTATGCTTGCACAGGACTTTAGGATAATCTCGCCTTATCTATCAGCTTAGCTCCAAGAAATTTCAAAACTTTGAAGATTCCAGTACTTCAGCAATAGATGAATGGAGCTTGAAAAAGTTTAGCGCCACATTAAAGTTTTGCAATGCAAGCGACATCTATTTATTTTGATTATTTTTCGTAAGTAAAATATCCTATGCTACACTTCGATAATAAGTATAAGATGAATATCGCGAAAAAAGTAGCAAAATTCGGCACCGATTGGTCAGATTTTCTTATCACGGTTTAACTAAATTTTTATACAGGCTCTAAATTTTATTCTTATAAGATCATACGAAGTTAATAAAGGTTATATTATGCTTACATTTGCTCGGAATGTCTACCCTTGCAAGCCTTGACAAATTTATAAATCTTACTTGAACGTGTTAGTTTTATAGTTTCATTTGCTAGGCGGTTTTACTCAACAAAGTCTTGGAGCGCTTGAAATTTCGAGTAGAATATGAAATAAAATGTGTTTTTAACCCGATAACCTAATAACGCTCACAGGATGTTTTTTCGAGAGCTGAGTTCTAATTAAAAATGTCCATATTGATCGTCATATATTCCATATGATCCGTTAAACTTACTAATATTTATTTTAGACATCGAGATCGTGATATAACGAGGTTTTAGGCATATAAAGGAATTTATTTTTTATTTTTTGATGGTAAAACTTTCTTACCAAGATGCTTAACTAACACCATTGAAAAGAGTACCTACGTAGACATAGGAAATAATGGTTCCAGAATTCTTTTCCGTTCAAATTCATCACGTGGTAATAATTAGAACTTAACTTTCAAAAATCCATCCTGTGAGCGTTAAGTAGTTAAGAAACTTTGATCCATATAATGTGATTTGTATAATAATCCGTGTCATTCGAATTTAAAGGGAGATTAACGTTATCGATGTTAGTTTTTTCTTAGATTCCAAAAAATCTTGTATTTTTTATTTGATAGAGACTATCATTGCTACGGGACTAAGTATTTGTTAATTTATAGTTATTATTTCATAAAATGATAAAATCGAAAAATTAAGTATGTATGCAGTGGAACAATATCAAATCATAGTACGTTGGTCATAAAATTTCTTATGTAATATTGACCATCCCTTCATTTTACGAAATATTTCATAAGCGTAAAATGCAAAGAAAATACATTAGAGATAAACATTGACATACGTGGAAGCAGTTGTCATGATCTATTTACCTGTATTCTTACATGAATACTGCAGAATTGTAAAACAGCATATGCAGTGAGTAAGCAACGGTCGGCTCTATTTTTAAATATAGAATAACAAAGATGAAACTACGTAAACAGAGTGAAATTGATGCACGAAGATAGCATCCTACACACACAACTAGCTGACGATAAAGTGCAGGTGAAGCGACGCCGAGCTGCGCCTTGAATATCCCGCGGTTATCTACGTATCGGGCTGAAACGTGGACTTGCTTGTAAGTATTTTTATCGCGCGGATGAAATTGATTTTTGCAAGAAACTTCGCTGCGAACCCTCGCGAGACTTGGATTCGACAAAAAATTTGAAAGTGACACGACTAATCCCGGCGCATCGCAAAAACCTAACAAGAAATAGAGGCCGCGAACCTGACTTCGCGAGAACCGAAAATTTCGCGATTTCGCAAGCTAAAAAATTCAATTAGGCGCCACACATTTGCTTACATTTTTGTCTATTACATGTGGGCATAAGTCGCACTGTTTATCTCTTTCGTGCGAAGAGATACGTCAATGGCACGAGCAGTGACGCAGTTTCACAATTGTTTCTCTATTGAGGACAAGTTTGTTATCCCATAATGTGGTTTAAAAGTTATATCGCAAAGACACTTTTGTGAGAAACTATAATAAAATATTTTTCACAATAACACTGGAATTTAATATTATTAAGACAATTGCATCAATAGCTCGGAAAAATCGAATCAAGCATAGAACAAAGTGCCAAAACAATCTCAACAAACAACGTGTGTCTAACAAGTGCTGATTTATAATATAATGCAATGAATATAATGGCGGAATCTATTTAAATAATGCACTTTCCTGAAAGTTGGAAAAATTTTTTTCTTCGCTTGACCTCCCGGAATTCTGTCCTATTCTTATGAAAAGCCATAAGGATCGGAAATGTCCGTGAATATTAAAAACATTCTTTTTCGGTAATTTTACATTATTTGGTATTGAATATAATTAACATTGGCTACTTTTGCTTATAACTTTCATTGACAGTTATTTTCACGATGAAAAGCTTTCATTTGTGACCTTGCGCGACCAAAAATAATGACTTTCGACTCAAATAACAATGACCAAAGATTATCGTACATTTAAGGGCACCATGAAAATAAGACAATTTTTATAAATTTCGATACGCTTTTTCAATTGTTTTTTAAAATTGCTATAAATAGATGTCAGTTAACTTTATGCGCAAAAATAACCAATCTTAATTTTAATGTTTTTCACTTAAATATCCAATAAAGTTAAAATGCTGTAGGTAAAGTTTCTGCAGACTTTTCTAATTTCGCGAGTATTTTCGATCATTATATACCTTAAA